TACACTCTCCAGTCTTCTCTGCTCCAACTAAAATGTGTGTGGACTTGAGTGAAATAGCTTTTGTTTTTTGGGACAGTGAGAGAGTACCAGCTGAGTGTAAAATGGAGCTCTTAAACCAAGCAAGAAGAGGCTGCATGTTCATTTGTCCCTGAAACTAAATAATGTTTTACTCAACTATGTGGTTCCATAACTGCAATTAAACTTTACTCTTGTTTGGAAAGGTTGTGGGGGGTTAATTATGGCCCAATTAAGGCTGCGTCTGAACAATGTGACAAATAAGCAGAATAAAAATTGCATCAAAAGAAAAACATATTATGATTAGCAAAAACTTAATCAGGATGCTCTGTGTTATGAAACTTCAAGTCGACTTATACGTCATTACAACAAAGAGCTGTGTAGCTGTTACCACCTCCAATGGATAGCTGCACATCACGCAAGCAAGCAGTGTACCAAAATGACTACACGATGCTGCTGAATCCTACACGTATCACCATTTAAGAAAATAAAATTGGAGAACAAAGTAAGTACAAGGCAGTGAGTGTATGCTGACTGGCAATATAGCGTCTTGAAATAAGCGATTAAAGAGTGTTCAAACATTCACAAATCACTTCAAAGACAACTTGAGGGGGTGAGGGGAAACTATTATAAAAAGTCGATTTTGCATGATAGGTCTGCTTTAATGTAAAATGCTTTCAGTTCATGCCCAAGAGATAAGTGCAATCTAATTCACTTTATCACATTAGCTTCTACGTGTTAAACGGACTGAGAATGAGCTACTCACGACACACCACGTCATAGGAATATAATAACACTCTTTATTAACACGGGCTGATACATAGTATAACGCAGAGCTGCAAGCTGAATCAAAATCTCATCAAAATTGTAATTTGAATGGACAGGCCAATCACAAAGGCTGCAATTTTTATACCATAATTTACCATCATTTCTTCCACAAACAATAAAGGGACCTGTCTTATTATGTGGAAAAACTGCTAATCCTGTAGGTTAGTGCACAAACATGTTCTGAAATGTGATTCTTGTTTTAGTGTTTCTCAGTCTTTTTTATCAATTATTTTGAAATTGTAATCCTAATATATGAACATAAATCTTAATCACAAATGCATGCTTGGAAAAAACTAAAACAAAAACAAAACAAAAAAACACACACATTCATATATTTTTCCCAAATTGTTCAGCCTTCACTCACACCATTACCCAGACCTCTATACTAGCAAACCTAGGTCACACATCTATTCATCTCTATTAATCTCAGTATCGATTGGAGGTCAAAACATCCCGCCCTAATGAAGACAGCTAATTAGCCGATCAGTCTGGCCTGTATTGGACTAAAGCAGCAGAGACAGAGTACCACGGCAACAGATCACACAGGCCTGGTCAACGAACCAGAAACATTCATGCAGACAGTAAAGTAAAGTTAATATTGACGATAAATAATATTGAAACTACTGACCCAAAAACCATAGTGCAGATTTGAACCACAAAAACAATTCTTAATGTACAATATTGTAAAAACCAGGAGCAGTAATAAATAAATAGCAGAATGAAACACTTTAGTATTTAGTTTGCATTGGTAATGGATCAAATCTCATCATATAGCGAAAAACAAAAAAAAAATCCCAGTAGTCTAAAGAAAAACTACAAATGATAAATGCTGACCCTCCAAAAATATCATTCCATCTTTCATATATTGAACGATAAGTGCATATAGTAACTGGCTCTCCTCACAGTGAGTCAGGCCTGTCACACTCCGAAGCCATAAAAGAGACAGCAGCAGCAGGAGGCAGGAGGCCAGTATCACAGGATCTCACTCTCTCAGCTACAGCGTCTGTGCATGTCCTAACAGCCCTCTGCCTTTTGACTTTCACTCCAGCATGTGCACACTGCCCTGCATGCTAGGGCTAGTGTAAAGAAATATGAGGGAAGTATGTTGAGTATTTTTATAGATCTTCTTTTAGATTCTTGATGTAATATTCTTTGATATTGTCCCCTTTACCACATATTAGACAAATACTTTAAATATTGTCCAAGAGCCGTCATTAAAACATATATGTGTCTGAAATGTGACTGGCTAGGGTCTAAACCAGTTTTGTGGCATTTTTGTAGGGCTGCAGAATATATCACAATTGAATCAAAATTGCACTTTGAGTTGGTGCAAATTATCAAATTGCAACACGATGTTCTCTGCAAAGAACAAAATATCTTTTATAGAAAAATCATGTTGTGCCAGTAGTTTATGCCCTTACAAACATGTTCTGAATCTCCACGGTACTCTTGAATTAGATTTTCAGTTCAAATCAGTCTTCTCCCAAAAGTTAATCTAGAGTTGTTTACAATGTGCACTGGGAACTTTTAAACATATACATCACTGTAAATTTTCTAGATTCAAAAGTTTTTACACATTAAATGTGTATTTTTTTTATTTGAAAACATAACATGATAATGTTTCCTATATATCCGCAGTGTCTCACATTAAATGCAATGTCACCCATAAAATAGTGTTAATACTGCAATGCAAGTGTGTTTTTGCCTCATTGTGCACCACTACAGCCCTCACAGACTGTAAAACAGGGTGAGTGGTTGTTGTTTTAAGCTTGGAGGGAAGGCTGGCTCAGTTATGTCACGATCTTTAACAAAAGTTGGTTGAAGAGTAGGAGAATGCAGCTGTAATTACTCTAACAGTCATGAGAGGGCCCTTGTCTCAGAGACACATGGGGCTCACTCAGTGCTTTAATGAGTATGAAATTACAGGCAATTCCCTTAACTGTTAGCAGATCTGGGCCTATTTGGACACCTAGAGACTTAATTTTCCACAGATATCATTCATTCACTCCTGACAAGAACATGACTACACTACATAGGAAAAGGAACAAGTTACTTCACATTAAACGCACTGAAAGGTTTACAAGACCACAGGTATTTATGATGTCAATGACTGAAGTAGATTCAATACTCAATACCAATTCCGATGCCACAATGATAATAAAAACACTCTTTCTTCAGACAATAGAATGTGATTTTCAGCATTAAATTATAGTACTTTCTTTTACCATGTGGCCTTATAACTAATCTTTAGTCGTCTAGGTAGGTTCTATAGTCCATGGGTGTAAACCATCGTCTGTGATCTTATACTTGTGATCATCTGTTTTCTTAGAATCAATACTTTCTCAAATAAGTACTAACTGTAGTATTGATTTGTTTCAGATTTTTGATACTTTTGACAACCCAAGTCCAGTATAGATTTTTTAAGAGAATATCGATGATTTCTCTTGGTGCTGTGGCTAATGACCTCTTTTTATTAATTATTATTATTTTAAAGCCCATAGCGAGACCCACAAATTTATGTTAATGTATGTTATGTTACTTTTGTAAAATGGCAAATGTTTTTTCATTTGTTGCCTGATTGTGTAAACAGTTTTTTGTTTTCAGCTTCATTTCTTATCTTTTTAATTTTTCACCCTTTAGTTTATAGGACAAACTGGGATTGATACACATATGGCATCTTAGAGAAAAAAATATCAGTGCAGAATATCTGCAAATTTTCCAACATCTGACAATACCGATATTTGAGAAAAACTTAACAATATCACCAATGCGGCTATCTGAATCAATATCTCACCCATCCCTAGTTGCAAAATGGAAAACATATGTTCTAGCAGTTGAGAGTTGATTTGAGGACGCCTCCGTGCTACTACTTGATGTTTGCAAAGAGTGACTAGCTGTAAAATTACAACTTCAAACTGCAGCAAATCATCCTATCCTCTGCATCATCTTCTCGCACACCATCAGCCTTCACTCGGTCTATAAATCTCCTCTTCGGCCTCTTGTCTGGCAGCCCAAGCCTCAGCATCCTTATATGCACTACTCGCACCATACATTTTAATATCCCTCTTCTGTACATCATCTGGTCCTTCATTCTTTCTGAACGCAAATCACTAAACTCACTTTTCTCTTCCCACTGCACAATTTGCCTGACCAGCCAGTCGCTTCAACATTCTGCTAAAATCTAGAAGGAAATGAAAGCAGACAATAGAGGGTGAAAATCCTCCATCTTAACATTAGCCGGTCCAATCACAGATGCTAATTTGTATTGCATGTCTCTCAAATATGAAAAAGGGGAAATGTCTAAAAAAAACGAGAATGTTTTTTTCTGACTGGTTAATCCGTCTGTCAGTCAAGCCGTCTGAATTCATGGAGACAGGATACAGCTCCAGCTCCACTCATCTTTGGAAAGTTTTTTTTCAAAGTGTGTGGTTCTGGCTGCCCAGGTAACTGCACAATAACATCTGTGTATTTCATAAAGAGGAAGTGATCCAATACAATAGCCAAGAAGCTCCAGCTCTATCAGACATATCAATAACCTCGAGGGCAGATAGGAATCAGTGGGTGGTTATCGCTAATGCCATTTCCTTTATGTCCAAAACCTATTATGAGCACAAGACAATGCAGCCCGCGGCCTAATTCACTTCAGGCATCTTTGGATCAAATGCATTTAAAACAAAGCAACAGCAATGACGCAATATCTTGACATCAGATGGCCTTCCTTTGTTGTGGAAACACGAAGCCCCTATCCTGCACTGACCAGCTCAGAGTCCGGATAAATAAACCACATCCTTATGGGTAGGACTGTCACGATAACACAATTTGAAGTACCACATATCGCTACAGAGAGATGTAATAATAAACGATAATATTGAAACTACTTTATACCACAAAGCAAGTTAATTACAGATTTAAATATACAGTATCATTAAATGACCTAAGATGCAACAAATAAATCACTGAATTAGCCACAGAAGTTATTTATTCAACCCTCTACTGTTCAAGTCTTAACTTATTACATAAAAATGACAAAATTTCCCCAATTTTTTCAGAGAAACTGTACCCATGATAAATATGGAGCCCTAAAATATTGTTCCAGCTTTCAAATATTAAATGATAAGTCAATATAGTAATAAGTAACAGGCCTAATGATGGGTTACCTCCAAACAGATGAGGAGAGAGGTGTGCTGGTAGAGATCCTATGAGCAGCCGGGGGCCTTCTTGTCCTGCGGTGCCAGACCTTCCCTCCCTCTCCCCGGACGCTTCCTCTGGGGAGCTGCCTGCAGACTCAGGGGAGCTGTACACCCCACTGCTGCTGGGAATGTTGATGCCAGATTGGGCTCGGGCACCGGGGCCTCCCATGGACCTGAAGCGATGCAGAGACACATGTAATATAGTCAATATTCAAGATTTAGAAGTTGGTCGGGGGGGGGTATTTCTCATTGTTAACTACAAAATTGGTCTAAAATTGGTCTGATATTCATTGCATTTCACTCTAGAAAGCAATGGAATTTCAATTATGTTTTTTTTATTTGTATGGTCAAAACAGCTACACAACATTTTTTAACCCTATGTGTAGGACCCGCAATATGACAAGTTAGTATTTGGAAGTGGGCGGGGATTGGGGGTAGGTGAAAACAGACATTTTCTGCACACCCAAGACCCAGATGCAGAGCAATATATATTACTCAAATGTATTTCTCTACAAAGAAATAGAACCAGTACGTCTCTGGTTAGGGGGAACATCTGCTTAACCTCCTGAATTGTGTAGTATTGTTATTGTGTTACAGTTTTGACCTTCAGCTCCACCATACCTGCTCCTGCTGGTACTTGCTGTTGCTCCAGATGCCCCAGCCGCTCCGTATGCATGGTACCTCATCCCTCCAGTAGAGGTCCTGCTCACTCCAGCCCCATTGGTGCTGGAGGGCAGGTCCGAGCCCGAGTACGCCCTGGTCCGGCCGTTAGCAGCTGGGTTGGCTGTAGGGCTGCTCTGCTTGGCCCCCATCAAAACCTCCAATAGTCTGTTATAATGTAATAAATGGGGAAACAATGTTTCACCCCAAAATTAATGATGGCCCTTTGAGCCAAATAACTTTTTCATTACTATAAAAGTTTGTGGTTGTCCCATTTTATCAGTTTCATTGTATAATTATTCATCCACCATTACCTTCCATGTTCAGAATATTGTATTATAGAAAGTATGATATTCAAGCATTCTGAAAGTTATCTAGGCAAACTCTAAAAAGTTGTACATACATTACAGTACACTATCTGATGGAAAACAGTAATAGCTCTGGATGGGATCGTTGGCGTTGCAGTACCGCGATTGTCCACAGGTCGAACTGTAGATGGGGCAAAGGGGGGCGGTATCCTAATCCGTTTTCATAATACATCCATGTACAGTGCGTAGATGAGAGCAGTTGGTTTTAAAAACGCGCCACGGCCCCGTCCGTGTGAGCAAACCAAGCAAAGCGTCCCCGTGTGCAAAGTTAACCTGTCCATATGTCACCACAAGTAACGAGGAAACTTTGGAGGGCGTCATTGTATTCCGTGAGGGGTGCACGCGCTGCAGGCTGGTCCCGTGCAGACCCCGGACTCCTGTCCACTGTGTGCCCGCTGTGCCGTGCCTCGTCCCGGGCGCAGCTCCTCTCTGCTCCCCGTCCCGCTGCTGCACATCGCTCACGAGGAGGAAGTGATGGAGGAGAAAGTCCCGCACGGAGCGCTCTTATCAGCTGCTGCAGCCACTGAGCTCAGAGCAACAAGCGTCCTCTCAGCACACGCACTTCCGCCGTGGAGTTTCACAATAAAGTTACGCATTACGCATTTTGTGAATGAACTGCAACACTGCTGCTAAAATGAGGAGGGTGACCTTGAAGTTTGAAACACTTACCTAATCCTGACCACAGCATTATTAAGATGTTTGCAGTTTTGGAAACTGGTTGCTTTCAAAAGGCCTACTGAATATGGCTGTAATAAGCCCAAGAAAGTCCAAATATTACATAGAGAAATGTTGAGCCTCACTGTAGCTGGGCTTCAGATGACCTCATCACAACATTCTATAGGCCAATTTTACACTAAAGGAGCCAGGATAATAATCCAATGCATTTTGTCCTTGAAGCAGCCAGACAACTATAGTTTCTTAAATACACTTAGTTTCTTAAATACAACTTTGTTGGCAGCCAGACATTATACAGACTCACTGTGTAAGAATTCAGACTAAAAATAAACTAAAACTAAAACATATATTTTATTGTAGGTGTTTATATTGCATTACTTCAAACATGTGTTATCACTGTGCTGTCTTCTTCTGGACTGCATTGAGTTTTTGGCTGAAATGTCACACACAACAGGTTAAAGAGAATTGTGACAAAATATAAGAAATTTGACATGTACTGATTAAACACCAAGACTAAATATACTGTCAAAAGTAAAATATGTTTTATTTTATTTTATTTATTTTTTTTATTTTTTTATTTTATGGGCTCATTGTCCTTTTAATGCTCCTGTGAAACTGTGAGTGAGTAACTCATTTCACTGTTTCTCTGTGTCTCCCTTTGTGCACTTCTCTAATGGAAAGTCCATTTGCTCAGTGAAACACACTTGTTTGCTGTGCATTGATTTTACTGGATTTTATTAGTTTAGTCAGTCAACAACAAAAACATTACAGAGCAGATGTATCAAAATAATCTATGTTTATAACTATTTATAATGCATCTGTATTTCACCAATAAGTGTGGTTGTGCATTTTGCAAACGTACTGAAGATACAATCGCTACACGCTTTTATTTTTCAGCCTACAAGAGCTTGTCGTGTGCGTAAGAGAAAACTTGACAATCATTGGACCAGCACGTCTGGTGACGTCAGAGGCAGCCCCATGTCAATAACAAACTGTTTCTCTACACCTGTGCTCGGTTCATTTATTCAACACCTTTTGTACAGGACACAATACTCCTGCAATTGTTTTTATATAAATGGTTTGGATGCTTATAGGGGATTAGAGGATAAATTGCAAAGCTACATTTTTTCAGCAGGTTGAATGAACTGCACTTATATTGTTGTATTCCACAGGTTTGTAAAGGAGAATGAAAATTTTAATGGGTGCAAGTTCTTGGCTCTGGCCCAGGATGCTCAACAATGAAAATGCTTCCCAGATGTAAACAAAGGGAGAGTGACAGAAAGGAAAAGTGTTTGTGTGAGAGAGAAAGAGAGAGAGACAGAGAGAGAAAGAGAGAGACAGAGAGAGAGAGACAGACAGAGAGAGAGAAGAGGGGGTGAAGGAGCAATGACCATCATAAGTAATGTATTCATATCACCAAACATCTTCAAATTTAATACAACAGAGTGCAGTCTGGAGCTCGTGTTGACAGAAAACAGAGCGGAGGAGAGCGCTCAGTGGGACCTGCTAATCCTTATCTCAGAGCCAAGCACAAACAAATTAAAGTTTGGCAATAACTCTGGACAGAAGTGAGGTTCCAAACACACAAATTGGCTTCCATTTGGCCATTGCATTAGTCCAAAAATACAGTGACTGGGTATGAATAGAGGATGTTAAACAGCTCTCCATTCAGGGTTGCCAGTTGTATTTTGCGCATATTTTATCATCTTGATGGTCCAAATTCACGCTATCCATTTTTGATCTGTCCATATCGAAACATTTTTGTTTGTTTGGTCTTTTTCCTTTTTGTACAGCATTTGATGTGTCGATAGATTTAATATTACTGGAAATGTTTAAAGTGCATAAGATAGGCGTTCATGATTTTCTAATAATTACTTGTTTTTGTCCATGTACATGTGGTAAATATTTTGCAGTTTCTCATCAGTCATGTGGCATTCTGTGGGTAAAAAGTTGAGAAGAAAAGCACAAAAATACAGGAAGTAGCGGTGAGTCTAAAACTGAATACCTCTACCTATGCAACATTAGAATTCCCCTGAAAATGCAAAGAGAGTTTACAAGAAACTACAGCTTTATAGCAGTTTAAATCTTCATTCAACAAAATAACTTGTTGTTTATTTTTAGAAGTGTAATCATACTGGGCAATTTAGGCAAGGTTTAACATTAAAGGGCCCAATGTTGTTCTAAACTATGTTATAATCTTGTTTCCTCATCAAAAACATACCTGGAGTTGTGTTTTGTTTCATTCACACATGTTCCAATACACAAACCTTGCATATTTAGGCTGTTCTTTTCTTTGAAAAAAAAAAAAAAAAAAGAAAACATTCTGCACAAAGTGAAACAGAGCATAATGAGCTTAAGACATGTAGACAGACTAATAATAAAGGGTAAATGAAATGTGTGAATGAAACAAAACTCAACTCCAGGTATGTTTTTGATGAGGTAACAACATTCTAAGTTTAAATCTCAAGTCTATTTTGTATAATATAGGACCTTTAAACTTTAGGTCACCAATAGGTCCAAAATCACAGTAATACTAAAATAGTTTATAATCAACATTCCTTGTCCATATTTTCTTTGCATTCACATTTCTACAGTAGCAGGTATTGTCCGTTCTCACAGTCGGATGGTCTAATCCTTCTAATCTCTGTCAGTGTCTGGAAATAGCTCAGGTTTATCTGCTGCATCCATCACCTCCACCTGCAGAAAGATGCTACAGGACAGTCACTTCAGGATGCCCCTACACCACAAACATACTGTCTTACAATGGACTGCAAGTCAAGCGCAGTCCTGGTTATAGCTGACTGTGTTTTAAACGCCATACACCTTCAGTAGAATCATTTGGATAATTTCAACTTTGGAACTGCCCATGTCTACTGATCACAAAGTAAAAGGCAGCTGTTAACTTGAAAACCCTACATGACATCACAGGGTGGAACAGATCATTTTGAACTATGGAGATGTACACAGACCAATAATGCCAGAAACTCAAACATGTGTAAATAAAACAAACCACAACTCTGGGCATGTTTACGATAAAGTAAATTCACAAAAGTAAAGTTTGCAGCTTCATATCTGCTGATTATCCAGTGTCAATACTAGTTTTATTATCTGTTATCTGTGCATTTTTGACTTGTTACCTCAAAAACAATAATATTCCTCATGTACACGTTGAAAATATGCGATGGGAAAAGCACATATTAACTGAATACACCCACAGTTGAGAATACAGCTGTGGTTGCGTGACATAATCTGTAGAATCTGTGGCAGCTCGACTAAAACCATCAGCGCCTAATCGATGTAATGAAAGTGCAGCATTTCCATTAAAGCCCTGATCACACACAATATCCCCAAATGTGATTACATCTGACCAGAGATAAATCACTGCCCACTGAACACCCACACGACCAGCTGAAAGGTTAACCGTTTACTGTTGCGGAGAGAGGAGATACCAAAGCCATTCAAATCCAATATAATCCTATGATGTCATTGTTTAACAATAGATGTTTAGATTATTTAAAGCAAAAATAGTTTAATAATCCATTTTAGGCTAGTTTTGAGTGACCAAGAGTGGACATGTCGTGTAGTCACACTGGAATGTATTCATGCAACAAAGAGACATTTATACATGTATAATGTAAAAATATTGGACAAAATGCTTTTTTAAAACGGATACATAAACAAAATCTCAACATCGGTTAATACGTAAGTCTAAGGGAGTGTGAAGTCACCCATAGTGTTCTGCTCCCGTCAAACGAAGCTCAAAAGGCAAGCATGGGGCGAATTTGAAAGTGAGTTCCAAATTTAGGAATAGGAATTCATTTATGGACAAAATAGAAAAACATAGATTTAGAGTTCATTATTTATTCACTCCACACTTGGTGGGGGTAAGCCATTTATTGTAGCCACAGATGCCCTGGGCCAGACTGACAGTTGCGAATCTGTGCCATTAGACCCTCTACCACTACCAACACTCACACATACACACCACTTTCATGCTAGGCAATGTGGGTGACGTGACTTCCCATAGGACACAATCCCACTGTGTCGTCCCACTGTGGCGCCTGATATTCCCAGCGGTCTCCCATCCAAGTACTAACTAGGCCTGGTATTGCTTAGCTTCTGAGATCTAACGGGATCAGGCTTTGACAAGCTGTACAGCCACATGTTTATTGTTTTTCTCAACCATACTTTTGCATTGATGTCTGTATAACTGCACGACACACATAGCTCAGATTTTGCAAACAGACTTTTTTAATGTGCCTGTGTAGAACATGTGGAGACTAGAGAATGAACAGACAGTTATGTACCCCACGGGAAACACTAAAATCATTCCTAATTTACCACATAAATCAAGTAAATCCCTGTTCATTTTAGCCTTAGGCCACATACCTCCCATCAATACAACTCCAGGTGTGGACAGCCATTGAACACTTACACAGTTTGGACCTTGACGGTGAAGACTTCTCAAAACCTGTCTGACCCTGACCTCATCAACAGACACTGACCTCTGAGCAACAGCCAATCACAGAGCAGGAGGAGATAACAGCAGCCAATCAGAGAGCAGAGAGATTTCCCCCTGGGCTGAGGACACAGATCAACTACACGCTCACAAAACCTCCAGCACACAGTATCAGACAGGCCCTGGCTGATGGAGACCCCGGGGCAGTTTCAATGAGAAGAGGAAACGGTGGTGGAATTCATTTACAACTTAGTGACTACTGATAGGTACTGTTTACATGGGGGCATATGGGATAAATTAACCAGTTTTTAAACCATATTACAGTGTGTATTTTTGTTTTCACAACAAATACACAATGGGGTGTACACTGTAGC